GTGATCTATGTAAAGTGTACCACCAATTCCCCATTGATCCACATGATTATCATTTACTTGGTTATACATGGAACAGTCAAGTTTACTTTGACACAGTTTTAACCATGGGCCTCCATTCTACCATGATGGCATGTTAGTGTTCCACTCTTGCAGTTACTTAGATTCTCAACCAGCATGGCCTTAAAACATTTAATTATCTCGAAGGCTATATTGCTACTTTCCCACCAACTTTGGCAACCTCTCAATTCCACAAGCTTAGAGAGTTGCTGTATCATCTCGGCTTGGAAGAATCTAGTGACAAATCCAGTCAAATCATCCAGCCCAACACACTGCAAACCCCATGAAGAGCTCCCCCAGTCACTCCTGAAGTCTTGTGTCAGATTTCTAAGGTTTTGGATTTTGAGAATGATCCTCTCTCATCCACACTGTTTTATTCCATTTTATAAACATTGTTTTTAATGGCACAATTAGCCAATATAGTACCTTGTTCCCATTAGTGCTTCAATAGTTCATGTCATCTTACTTGGAGAGATGTCACCACAAACCAACATGAGCTGATTGTTACTTTTAAATGCTCTAAGACTATTTATTGTATAAATTGCATATTCCTTTGTTATGTCTGCCAGGCTCTCCTATATGGCCAGTTTCTTGGTCTACCTTATTCTGTTTGCCCAGTCATTACAGTCCCACTATCCTCACTCAAGCTAGTTTTATTGCCTAGTTTTATCCAGCGATTTCTGCTGCTGGTCTCCCAGATGCTTCGTTGTTTCTCAGTAATTCTTTTCATTATGGTGTAGCCTCTTGGGCCTTTAATCACAGCATACTGGGTGAACTCATACAGACATAGGGAGACTGGGCAAGTGATGCATATAAGGCTTATTTAGAATTTCGTGTTGAATCAAAGCTCACCTTTGCCCATCAGCTTTGTTTTGCTATTCTCTCTACTGCTCCATAGTTTCACAGTGAAAAGTTGCCTTTTTGGGGTGTTCCATATGGTGCAGAGTTATTGGTGGTTTTTTAACTTTTTGTTTGTACGCTTAATAAACTTCTCTGTGCCAAAAAGCAAATTGTGTCTCATTTGTGTCAGGCGGTGTAGTTGGGGAATTTACCCTCTTTGGACAAGCACATATTCAAAGGGATTAATTGTACAACACACACCTCTGGCATCAGGCTCTAAAAATTTCATGTTTCATTTCACACCAGTTTTCACTTCAAGCACACACCAGAGATTTTGTATTGTACTATTTCATTTTTTTCCCACCCACCCTCCAACCCTGGTTAATTTTGTATGATGTCATAAATGACAGAGAGGTTTATCAGGCATATCATGGGCTGTTGTTTACTTTTTGTTCATATTCTTAATAATCTTCTCTCTGTGCTGAAAAGCAAATTGTGTTTTATTTGTGTCAGGGGGCATAGTTAGGGAATTTGGAGTCCACGAATCTTTTGCTGACCAACTGGGAAGGAAAGCCTACTCATATTGTTTATTCTTCTGTGTAAGCTAAATTCAACTATCTAGTTGCTAAGGAATTATTTAAATAGAAAAGTATACCACCTTTGGTCAGGATGAATGGATCAAACTGAAAACCCTTTTTTAGGCATCCCAGCTTGCATATTTGAATGTTTGTGGCCCTACTAACAATTTACCACTTTTCCAACAGTTTTATCATATGCAAGTTATACTTTTATATACAATTTTCACCATCAAAGTTATAAAAATATAGTTCATTCAAAAAAGGGCTCAAGTGCTCAGTTAATGGAGAGATATTTAAACACCAAAAGTTTATCCTACTTAGATGTGAAGTTGAATATTCACTTGTCAGGGTGTCAGGTTTCAGCAAGTTGTTTGAAGGTTATGTTCTCTCAAGTTATCTTTAACAATACACAAATGCAACATAAAAGGAGCAATTCAAAGAAAACAATGAGTGGTTACATAAGAGCTACACTGTACCTGTGCCTAATGAAAATGAGGACATGTGTCCAAGTTCCTTTGGCCAATGGTAGGGCAAGCAGCAATAGGCTAGATCAAGTAGAGGATCACCCAGAGTAGAGAGCTCCCAGTCTAACACGGCATTCACACATAACTAAAAAGATGGTCAATAAAATTTATATTTGGTATCCGCAGGTTATTCAAATCTACTTCTCTTTTTCACTGTCTGACATAGAAGTGGTTTAATTGAGTCAAAACTAAGGTGGAGAGGACAACTCAACCTTATTTTATTGACAAACAAGGACTAGCATATCAAGACTAGCACTGCAAGTTAGCTTAGATGAAGCACAGTGGTGCACCCTAGATATACAACTAGTTTTTGCTGTGATGCAGAAACACTTGAAGAGTCTATAATGCATTCCATGTTATAGCACTTACATGTAGAAAAAAAATTAACCAAAACTTACTCCATGTACTTCAATAAATATAAAAGAATGCAAATTTACCCTTCTACCCTAGGAGTGGAATATTGTTGTGATTAAAATGCAATGACAGTACAAACCTTCCTAGGATCAAAGATCAAATTGTCCAGTCTGAAATCTCCATGAACTAGAACTAAATAAAACAAAACCCACATGACTAAAATAAAATACTTTATTTAGGCAATGGTAATTAAACTCGGTGGAGTGCAATTTGGTCTGAATTCACACACATAATTTGAAATCACAAGTATGATATCAGACAGAGATTGCAAAGACCAGAAAGACATCCAATTCAAGAGTACAAACTTTAAGCACCAAAATAAAGGATTTTAGGCTTTACAAATACATCAGTGTTCCAGTAAGGAGACTGTTACTAAAATGGTTTAACCAAACTGATTCAAACAGTTAAACTGGTCCAACTAGATATAATAGTCCAACAGATAAAAAAAACCATTTAAGCAGAAAAAGTAACCCAACTCATCAAAATAACTTAACCAACTTAAAAAAGGAGGTTGGTGCAACAAGCTAGAATGGTGTGATAACCTAAAATAGTCCAATCTGTCCAATCAATCAAAAAGACTCAATTACTAAAAAGTATTGCACCAGTTATGATGATACAACCATATAAAATGGGCAAACTTGAAAAAATGGTACCACTAGTCAACATGATTCAACCAGTGGCAATAGGTGAACTGCAAAAAATGGTCTAGCAGGTAAAAAATGGTGTAACTAAGTAAAATTTTCAACAGGTTAAAATAGTCAGACCACATTTGGTATCTGGGCAACCAAGCTCAATTTATGTTTGCCGTACTTGAATAGCAATTCAAGTACCATTTCAAACCAACCTCAGAGCAAATGTGATCCCGAAATCAAGTACAAACCGTACTCGATAGAATGAGGCAAACCGAGCTCAACAAAAACTGAGCTCGATAAGATCAGATGGAGTTTGCAGAACTCATCTTTTTAATTGAGTATGATATAGTTGGATCGAGCTCAAATAGAATAGACTGCATTTCGAGCTCGTTGATCCAAGGTTGGTTTGAAATGGTATTTGAATTGCTATTGGACCAAATGTGGTCCAAATAGTCTTACTAAATACATGCCTTTAAAACAATAAATGCCTTGAAAATTTGTGGAGATGTCATCAAAGTTTCATTTCGGTCAAGAATTCATCAAAAAGCTAGCAATTTCGTCAAATTTCATCAACAGGTGTTTGCATTACTTTTGCACAATACTGTAAAATGGTCAAAGAGGCTGAACTAGTCTGACTCAGTACAATGCATGTTAGGAGATGCAGCATCTAAACTTTAGGAATTCCCAAACCTGTGTAATGCTTTGTAGAGGTGCCACATTTTTGGATTTACATTGAAGTGGTTGACCAATACAGCTTACAGTTTTAAGAATAAAAACACACACACAAACTGCGACAATAAAACCCTTAGGCACTGGTCAGGGGATTAACATTAAAGTTAATAGGAACTAATGGAAGGAGCAGGTAGGGGAGTGACATTCATGGTCCCACTGAAACTCAGAAAATGGCATCACATTCTGAGTAAAAATGGTCTAACTAAGAAATTGGTCCAACAAGTTCCAAGGTTCTAATTCATGAAATAGACTACTTGATGAAAAATTATCTCATCAGTTTGATTGTTCTAATCAGATAAAGTGGTCCAACAAGTTTAAAAAGGCCTAACTGTTTGAAAGAGTCCAACTGATTAAAATGACCTAATTGGTTAAAACAGACTTTCCAGACAAACTGGTCAAACCAGCTAAACATCGGCTCACTAGCTAAAATGGCCCAACTGGTCAAAGGGTCTAACTAAATAAATGGTCCATTCCAATTAAATGTTCTAATAATATAAACATGGCCCAACCACTAAGAATGGTTCAATGAAACAAAATTATTCAACTCATTTAAGTGGCCTATCCAGATGAAAGAGTTTAAAACGGGTAAACATGCTCACTTATCTAGGTATTATATTTGATGAGACTATTTCTTGGGCTCCCCACATTCAGTACATTTTATCTAAAGCTGGCAAAAGATTAGGTCTGCTATCTTGATAACGAAGAGATTTAACCTGTCATGCTGCCAACATGTTATATCTATCATTTATCCGTTCGATTTTTGACTATGGCGACACTGTATGGAACTGTTGTGGAGTGGGTAATGCCAGACCGCTGGATAATTTTCAAAGAAGGGCATCCAGAATTGTTTCAAGATCTATGGATAGTGACAAAGCTTTAATGGATCTTAAATGGCCTGAGTTATAGTTGAGAAGAGACGAACATACTTTTAAATTAGTTAATAAATGCATTTCTGGTAACTGTCCTCAATTTTTTAAGCAATATTTCAATTTTAATAATACTAGAACAAGACAGAGAAATTTACTTCATTTGCCTTGCGTTAGAACTGAAACAGCCAAAAAATCTTTTTATTATCATGGATGTGTTGTTTATAATAGTCAAGTTAATTCGAATTTTCTATAATATTTTATATTGACTAGATTCTTATTGTTTTGTGCGCATTTATAGATTTTTATACCATTGCATATATATAGATTTTTATAGTATTGTTTGATATTTAGATAGCATATATATTATTCTTGCCGCCGTTATTATTATTAGTAGTATTATTTATATTTATTTTTGTATTATGCATTGTATTTATTTTAGGATCCTATTCACCAGGGCTCCTATTGATAGCAGAGCCTTACGTTCTGATGGGATTACCCTGGTGTTGCGATTGTTATTTATTTTTTAACTAAAGGTGTCATTCAACTAGGGTTAAAAGGGTCAAACTAGATAAAATGATCTAACTTATAAAATGGTCCAACCAGTCATAAGGGTTTAAGTAGATAAAATGATCTACCTGGATAAAACAGTCCAGCCTGTTAAAATGCTCAAACTCCATTAAGTGTTCCTACCGGTGTATAGTTAAAAAAATCTAGGCAAAAATGTTAGATTTGACTGTCAAACTATTTCAGTTTAAATTACTATTATCTATTGAGGACTGTGAACTTTGATGGTTTGATATTTTTGCCAGCTTTAGTCTTGTTCAACCAATAAGATTATTTGAACCATTTGTTGTGAAATGTTTCCAAGCAAAAATTGATTACCAAGATTTATTATGAATTTAATTGCATATTAAGTTAGTTGTAATTTCGTTATGGTTAAAGTCCACAGTCAATGTTACAATTAGAAGTAATGTGTAATTAGGAGTGGCATAGTGTAATCAAATTAGTTCTGCGAGCAGTGATGTATGAAACTAGGTATTTGCAGGGCATTTAAGGGTGTGGGAACTAAGCAGCCTAAATTAATACCCACTAATCGTTGTAGAATGTGAACTAATCTTGAATCCCACATGGAACTACTTATCTGGGTGTGGATTTCCTCAGCTAATAAATGTAACATTTTTGTAACCCTAGGATTAGATTGTAATTGAGTAGATAGAGCACAGAACGAAACATGTAATGCTGAATTGTTGTCAATATAGCCCAAATCAAGAGAAAGTATACAGTCCAAGATTACTGAACCAGTGTGTGTGGAATTCTCTGCAACACAAGTGGGAAATTTTGCGAAACCTGGTCCTTCGAGCCAGATAGTGAACAAAGATAGTGAACAAAGATAGTGAACAAAGATAGTGAACAAAGATAGTGAATGAAGATGAGTGAACTTAAGAACAAGAAGAATTCAAGAGCAGGCCACAAGAGTTATCTGAGCTACACTTTTTCCGAAGTGGACAAATGCCTCAAGGACTATACTGAAGACATAAAGAATGAAATTGAACAGTGGAAGGAAGCGTTTCAAGAACTGGAGAAGGTTACTACACTGAGCGACCAGATCCTTACATTGATAGAAGTGGATGACGATTTGACTGAGGAATATATGTCCACAGAGGTACACGACACCAACAAACTGAGGTTTGAGGTGAAGTTGCAATTGTCCACCATTGGGAAACTGCTAGCCACAAATTTGCCAAATGAACCACTGCCATCATCCCCCAGCCTCTCCGCGGAACTGCAGAGCATCAAGTCCCAGGGTCATCCACCCCAACTGCTCCCATTCAGGCAAGATTGCCAAAACTTGAAGTTCAGAAGTTTGAGGGCAACATTGGTGAGTGGCAGGAGTTTTGGGACTCCTTTGAGAGCGCAATTGACAAAAATTTGACTTTGGCCAACATCAACAAATTTTCGTAGTTGCGCAGCCTTCTGGTTGTGTCAGCACAGTCGGCGATAACTGGATTTGCCTTTACGTTAGCAAATTATAAAGCAGTGACAGAGCTGCTAAAGAGATGTTATGGAGAAAGGGCAGCCATTCAAAGAATGTACATCAATGACCTGATGAACATAGAGCCCTGATGTTTGCCGACACAAAGAGCAGTTAGAGATAGATGTTCTTATAGGGGCGGATTATCTATGGAGCTTTCAGACAGGTAATTTCGTCAGGGGAGGTGTGGGTGAGCCGGTAGCCATAGAAACACAGTTAGGATGGGTTGCTTCTGCTCCTTTAGAGTCTAGTCAGTCAACAGAGAGAGTGAGTGGTCAGTGTATATCTTATAGGAAGAGACAGTATAATTATGGGAAAATTAGAAGAGGACATTAAGGTTCTTTGGGACTTAGAAACATTAGGGATAGCAGAGAGTGACAGAGTGTATGAGGAATTTGTAGACAACATCACGTTTAACGGAAATCGGTATTCCATCAAGGTGCAATAGAAGGAGGGGCATGACATCTTAGATAGTAATTACAAGTTGAGTTTGTCACGTATGAAAGGTCAGGTCAAAAAGCTTAGACAGGAGCCAGAGGTGTTGAGAGTACAACTCAGTTATCAAAGTCATAAGGGTGAGACACTCAAATAAACATGCCATAAAATTTTCTTGGTAACAACCAAGTTAATGAACATATTTACCCATAAACAATCCTTAACAATCAAGGGTATAGTTCATTTCTCTGACTATTTTGATACAATGTCAGTGAATGATCACTGCACCCTTCACAAAACAATATAGATTTTTGCTCTCCTGAGGTGGCAATCTTCCATAAGGTTGTGGCTGAAAATGTCAATAAGAAAGTGTTGACACACCAGCTGAACCACTTCAGCAAAAGCAGTGAAGATGGACAAGGCACTGATTAC